CTGAGGAACTGTGTGAGAAAGGAAATATGAATGACCAGAAAAGTCAAGAAATACAGAGATAGGACGGCAGCTTCCTAGCCACAAATCCAAGATCATGAATGAGATGACAAATGTCCTGAAATCAGAAGCAAAGATGTCTCCGCAAACTCTGCATAGACATCCTGAGGCCATGGCAATGTGTTTAATCCCTGATCCTTACTCAAGACTCTATCCAATTGTGTGTACAATCGACTGCATTCTATTCAATGGGGCGGGTACTCTCCCTGCTTATTGAGTCTCCTTAGCCTGGCCCAGCGCATTTCCCATCTCATCCTCAAGTCCTGTTTTCCCCTGTGTCTTGAGCTCCAGTTCTTAGGACCTCCACTCATTTGCCATGCTGCTTGACACAGATGTCCAGCTTTGTCCCCAGCCTGGGGTACCACCTTTTGTGTGGCTTTTAGTGGGAAAATGTGGGCAAATATCTATGCACCCTAGATAGAGCATGATGGCAGACCAAATAAATAATTTGACTGAAATCCAACATGGTGAAGCAATTGGCTTATCAGGCTTATTTACAAAGCATGAGTGAAGATTGAGTGAGGACTTGCTTATAGGGACGTGGATGGATGACTTACAGCCCATTGCATCAACAAAAAGATCACCCAGCATGGGTTACGACTCAAGACAGCTACATCCTTGAAGCTCTGATATATTTCCACTACGGAACAGGATCCCTGATGATACCATAGTTTAGGAATATTTTTGGCCTCTCACTCAGAACACGTGCTGGCCAAAGACACATTCTGAGTGGGCAACACTAGTCAGCTTCTTTAGCCTTCTCAGCTTCAAGTCCACACGAAAGGAAACACAAGCTGTAACTTTTGGGACCACTCAAAACCCCTCTGGGTGGTTTCCAGGCAGATCGGAAGCTGTTTGGCTGCCCGGGGAAGATAAGTGAGGAAAAGAAGCCCTGTCTGTGTTTACAGCTGTGACAAATGGGCTCCTGTCTTCTCCTGACAGACTCTCTCTGACTGATGCATCAGCCTCCTCGATCATCACCAGAATCACCGCCCTCGTCATGGTTTGAAATTCAGATGGATTTTACACCACAAATAAGAATGAATTCAAATGTCTCAGTTCCCCGAGCAGAACCGATGGGGCTATAATGTCATACTTGTGCAACTGTACACAGCCAAGCAGGGATGCCATGTGATGGGCTACCTCCCATCACCTTTGCTGAATCTACATTAGTTCTGTAGCCTTCACCTCCGGGAAGCTATCATAGTCCAGTATCAAGTAGCAGGACACTGCATTCCACATGTCTGTAGTATCTTCCAGGAGATCAAAGGAGATGGAAGGACCCCATTCTGCTATGGGTTCATTCTCAGGAGCCCTGCTAATTAGTGGGGTCAAAAGTTAAAGTAACAAAATAAGACCACATCTGGGCAGCCACCTTGAAAATGCCCCATAAATAACAAGATGAGGTTTCCCAAGTGATAGTGGGCTTTCTGATGGTCCCAAAATGCTGTGGGATAATGCTCTCGTCCACTGTAATATTTGTCACTCATATTGGTTCCATAAAACGCTGATTGGCCAGTAGCCAGGCAGGAAGTGTAGGTAGAGCAGCCAGAGTAGGAGAATTGTGGGAAGAGGAAATGAGAGACAGAATCAGCAGCTGGATACAGAGGAAGAAAGATGAGGATGTCTTACTGAAAAAAATTTACCAAGTCACATGGCTAAACATAGACAAAAATTATTGATTAATTTAAGTTGTAAGAGATAGTTAATAATAAGCCCAAGTTAATAGGCCAAACAGTTTTTAATTAATATAAGTTTCTGAGTGTTTCTTTGGGATTGGATGACCCTGGGACCAGGCAGGAGAGAAACTCAAATTTACATCCAAAGAAAGCAGACAGCCACGACAAAGGAAAATGAGAGGAAAAGGGACTGCTTCCTCACTCTGTTGAGTCTCCTCTAGAGGCCACCAAGCCTGAAAGTTATTCTCTAAGCCCACGTGTAGGGTGGTGTGGTGTGTGTGTGTGTGTGTGTGTGTGTGTGTGTGTGTGTATCACAAAATAAGAATTGATAAAATAAAATTTAAAAATAAAAGCAGGGATCTTTGACTGTGTGGGGACAGCCATGGTTTTCCCAATCAGCCCAGGACACAGCAGGGTAAGATCATCTCCAAATGAGCATCAGTATCTAACAGAAGGGAGCAAAGAGAAGCTTGAAACTGGAAGAGGAAGGAATGGGGTGCGGCTCATTTGGTAGGGTGCTTGCCTGCATGCAGCAAGTCCTAATGTGAATGCCCAGCACACATTTTGCTAGCCATAGTGGTATAAGCCTGTAAAATTGAGCATTCAAGTGGCAGAGGCAAGAGGGTCAGAAGCTCAAGGTCATTCCAAGCTATACAGTGAGTATGAGCCAGTCTGGTCTACAGAAGACACTATCAAGAATGGGGGGGGGTGGGGCAGAAAGCAGTCAGAAGAGGAACCTTACTGAAGTGTTTCTATTTCCAAAAAAAAAAAAATTATCATTGAGATATACTCTGAGGTATACAGGAAAAGGTAGAGATGGAGGGAGAGAACTATTTCTACATATGCAAAACATGTGGGAAGAGAGAAAGAAAAGAAAGATTACATATGAGTTTATGTATTACGTATGTATAAATCACAAAGGTTAAAAGAAAATCAAAGTTAGAGAGGGGTGGGGGCACTGTTCAGGCTTTTCAACTAACAAGAGTCTAGTTTTAGAGAAAAGCCTGCCAAGTCTTCCTCCAGAGCAGTCAGCTGCTGTAAGAATCCACATGGGCCAAGGGGCCATTGCGTCTGAGGCAGGTTTACTTCTGATTGTGGCACCTCTGTCATCTCTTGTCACTTTAATTCCACTCTATCAAATTGCCAATATTTCCTGAGGCATTTAGGCTGCACAGAAAGGGACACAGGGGCACATGCACACAACAAAAGCAGGGCCATCTTTTCAAATTTATAAATCATGGCAACAAATGATACATCAGAGCAGCAGAGGGACCAGGATGCGTTCTTGGACTCAAATGGTAACCACTCCAGCTGCTACAGCAGACACCTCCCTGCGTGGCTGCAGCTGCATTGCCAGCAGAGAGACTACCGAGTGTGTGCTCTTTTGATGAGCCTGGAGGATGCTTCCTCTCTGGGACACTTAGATTTTGATTGAGACTTTTCCAAGTAGGGAAAGAACTCCAGGAGATACATCATCCGTAGCCAGGGAAACAGTCTGAGCAGCCTTTTCTCATGGAGTACATTAGTGGATTTGTCAGGGGCTGCTGCAACTACTGTCGGGTTCCTTTGTGACTCTGTCATGTCAGCACAATCTCGGGGAGCAAGTGAAAAAATCTCCCAGAAATGTTTTTACTTAATGTGTCCAGCATAACTCAAGGACATGTGAAAAGGGTGTGTGTGTGTGTGTGTGTGTGTGTGTGTGTGTGTTATCTCCTTTCTCCAGAAGAATGGGAGCTATGTAGAGAATGACTGTGTATAACTTCCTCCCCCAGTAAGCTTCACAGACCAGCATAGAGCCAGGTGTTGCTGATGGACAGACCGCAAGGGTAAGGGCAGGAGAAACAGAGTCTGAGTGGCTTGGAATTCCCAGAATATGTCCCATTCATCTGTCTTGGTAATGACAGAGCTGAAGTTATTCCTTCGGTACCTGTTGCCCTGACAGTTTCCGAACTCTATCAGAATGTTATTTCTTAAATATTGCACTGGATTTAAATATACTTATGGGCATCATAAAAGTTCCAAGGAAAGTCAGAGCACCCTGAATTTGGGATGTAGCCAAGGAAGCGAGCTATCTGAGCACTGCAATATGAGCTCAGTGGCTGGAATAAGACAAGACAGTGGGTAAAGTCGGAGTGTATGTGTCACCTAAGTGGCAATTTGTTGTGTCCCATACACAAATATCCACGTGTGTACATCAGAATGCTCTCTTGCTGCACAGATCAGAACCCAGAACTTCAACACACATGGGATCAGGACTCAGCGTAAACAAAACTGTACTGTACACTTGAGCAGCTGTGATCGCCACTTCATCAGACCATGCAGGCAATTGCCTTGTCTTTAGAAGTGAGTCCTGGTCTGAGGAGTCAGCCAACACATCAGTCAGCAGATGCCTTAGTCATCGTGAAACCATTGCTCAAATCCTCGCCATGAGAGTTTGACCACATGGGCCCACAGCTGCACCATCATAGAGAGAGGCATCTTCCTAAACCCGTAGACAGTGTCAGGAGTGGTCAGGAGCTCCATCTCCATTCTCCTGCATGTGTAACCCCTTTGGATCCACCATATTAATAGTGAAACTCAATATGGTCAGTTGTGCTTTGTCACAGAAACCTTTGTGAACTTCTGCTAATAAAGAGAGACCAAGAATATCAAAGAACAAAGATCTGACAATTGCTTCTCCTGAGGGGACCCACACCAAGACTAGCAAACAAAATAAATGGGTGGAAAACTCATTCATCCAGGCCCAAAGTAATCTTCCAAGAGCCTCCAATCTCAAACAGCAAGTCACTGCTCATGTGGATGAGTCCTGGAGGACAACAAGGTAAGCCATCTTCCCAGTAAATACACATGGATCAAATATATAAAGATATATGCTGGGAAACCAGGCACCATCCATTCTATAATGCATGCAATGTTACACAAAGCTATGTATGATACTTGCATCAAATATCAAGCATATTGATTAAAATTGTGACATGAGGCATCAATAAGTTATTTTTTTTTCTGGAAAACATAGTAAAATAAAAACACAGAACCACATTGAAGTAAAAACTAATTACATTATGCACTCCTCACTGCAGCCATCAGAAAGAACACTGGCCACGGGTGCTAAAATGATGAGCATTGTAATTTGCAATCATCCCCAAGAGTCAACACACAGTTGCCTCCAGAACAGGGTATGGTGAGGTGCACCAGAATCCCCTGGACTGCAATTACAACAGTTAGGACTGTTTGAAACCAGAAATACAAAATATACGGGCCTACCTTTTGGTCCTCTGTTTCCGAGCAGTTATTGCAGTTGGCTTGGATATCCTGGAGAAGGAGAAAGGGAGAAAGAGCAGGAGTCAGCCTTGTACTTGAGGATATTCTGTGACTGCTGAGGCTCCCTTTATATTAATAAAAGTTCACACTCCTGGCAGTTCTTCCTCGAGTCATTGCACTTCACGGTGCTCTTTGGAGGTGTACACAGTGGTGTTTGCAGTAGAGGCATATGGGTGTTGTAAGAGAGCTTTATTACAAGCAGATGAGGGGTGAACCTGAATGCTACAGGTCAGAGATCAGCAAAGAGAAACTGAGCGCCATTGAAATCATCTCTCCCTACTACCTTACTCATATGCAAAGGGACGTTCCTTTCATCAGATTTAATGTCCTCCTCTGCCTTTGTCACATGAAAATATATCTGGTTTCAACACATGCCGTTGCTACCTAGTTAATATTTTGTTCATTCAGCCATCTTCCTACTTGTCTTTCTGTCTACCCATCTATCTGCTCATCCTCCCAACCATCAATCCATCTACCCACTCAATCAGCCACTCAACCACCCAACCACCCATCCACCCATCTACCTACTCATCCAACTACCGGTCCATCAGTCTGTGAATATCCATCCATTGATCCCTCAGTCCATCTGCCCACTCATCTATCACTCTATGTATCCATTCATCTAACCATCAGTCGATCTCCTTTGCCATATATACATTATCCATTCACCCATCCATTCACTTACTTCTCAGTCTGTCTGCCTGCCCATTGACCCATCCATGCGTCCATCCATCTATCAATCCATCAATTTGTCCATCCATCCACCCACCCATCTACCTGTCCATTTATCTGTCTGGATGCTGACCCACCCATCCATCTGTTTATCTACTCACACATTCATTTATTTCTCTATCCATCCTTCACAGAGTTGTCACCTAGTTAATTATCTTTATTTATTGAATCCTTTTATCTAATACAACTTTGTTATTTTTTTTCCCTCATACAAAGGTGAAATTTATGGTAGCCAACTTTAAGGAACTTGTTAGATAGAAGTGAAGACACATTCACACAAGAAACTATGGAATTAATTTATTTATGCAAAAGATTTGCGGTCTAAAAGATGGTCCATTAGGTAAAGATACCTATGTCTAAGCCTGCTAAACACTTTCAATCACTAGGATACACCTGGTAAAAGGAGCGATCCAACTCTAATAAGCTGTCCTCTGACCTTTACAGGTATGCTACGGTGTGTACTTGGCACCTCTGCCCCCAACACACACACACACACACACACACACACACACACACACACACACATGAAATAGGTGAACAAACCTAAAAGACATCCAAAGATTGTTATTTAGTACCCACTGATATCAGGCCAGGGTCTAGATACACAGTGCCACAAACTGCATCAAGTCCAGGGAAGGACCTGCCTTGGCAATGCTCATATTATGGAGACGGGGAAAGAAAATAGAAAGGACAGATTGGTTAATGGACCTGGGAGAAGATAAGCGCTACATGTAAAACAATTCCGTGAGAAGGTGTGAAATGCTGAGAGCGGGAGTCTTAGATTTCAATCCAAAGAAGTGGCCCTGCATTAAGTCTTGAAGGACAGTCCAGAGTGGATGATGGGCCCCTGGAGTGAAGTCCAGCCAATGGAGTGGCGCATGTGAAGAGCCCAGATGGTGCTGTAGGCACACTCCAGCAACCAGGATGGCTCTTCAGCCAGAGGGAAGCAGGGATAAAGGGTAGGGAAAGAGAGCAGAGGTCAATCAAGTGCATGCAAAACAAACAAACCAAAACCAAACAGAAACAAAAACAATAGACTTAGGGAACAGCAAACACAACTCAACAAACACAGGGTAGTCCTCAAAGTGAGCTCCTGAAACTCCAGGAGCTGTTTCAAAGGCTTTTGTTTGCTTGTTTTAAAATGCATTTTTATGATCATCTCAGGAAGTTTATAGAGGTTCCAAGAAAAAGAAAGAAAAGAGAGACAGACAGACAGAGATAGAGACTCAGGATTAGGAGATGGCTCACACAAGCCTGAGCATCTGAATTCAGATCCTTGGAACCCATAAAAAAAACTGCATGGCTCCATGTAATTCCAAGGCTCAGAAGTTGTAGACAGGAAATCTTAGGACCCAGCTGGGCAGCTAGATCAGCCTGAACTGGCAAACTCTGGGTTTAGCTGAGAGACCCTGCTTTAATGAACAGAGTGAAGAACAGGAAGGAAACACCCAGTGTCAGCCTGGGCCTACACACACACACACACACACACACACACACACACACACACAAAGGGAGGAAAACTACAAAACCATTATCTGAGAATCCTATTTCTGTGTTTGTGAAATGAAACTGAATCAGGAGTTTCCAGAGCCATCTGGACTTCCGTATTTATTGAAACAATCCTCAGGTGCTAAAATATGGAAACAATCTACGTGTGAAGCAGGGATAGGTGAAGAAAATGCGATGTGTATGAACAGTATCATATTCTGCAGCCATTCAAAAGAAAGGCAGTGTATGGTGTGAAGGAATGTGAACCAGTGTGGTAGGGAATGAAAGGCTTCAGGGGCAGATAACAACCGCCATCGGAAACTAAGATCTCAAATTCAAGGAGACAGGAAAGGCGGCTAACCAAAGCCTGCCAGAGAACGAGAAGCAAGGAATCTGTCGATCTAATGGTGCGGTCTCAGTGAGAAAGGAAGAGTGAGCTCAGGAGTCTCCTGTGCAATGTGCAGGCTGCAGTTCAGGATGAACTGGATTCCTAACAGAGGGCACAAGAGTAGAGCCCTATTGCCCACTACCAGAGTCTATGTGAGGCACCCAAGTGTGAATTAGATTTTCTAAGGTTAGACTTCCAAACATCCATGCTACCTTGATAAACACATACATCTAGCATGTCTCAATTTAAATAAACAAGTAATGGGGGATCCACATTTGAGTACAGCTGAGGGCTCATGGCTCTTATAGAAGGTCCACAGGCATCGTGCTGTGTGGGTGAATTGGGGGTCTTGTTTGGTCTCCTCCAGCATCAGCATCAGATCTCTCGCACCACGGAGCATCTCTATGGACTTTGGTACACGTCATCCCATTCAGAATCCCAGGTGTCTTCTCTGCAGTATGGGGCTAATGTGAGCAGGAGCTGGGTTCCTTGCATGGACCTGCCTCCCAGCTACACGGCATCATGAAGATGCTGTGAAGAAGAACACACCATGCCTTAGGTCTACCCTGTATCCCAGGTCAGATTCCACAACATTTGTGATCTGAGCAGGTGCTCGTCCCTCCCTTTCCCCCCTCCCACAGGTCTCCACGTTGGTTGTCTAAAAAGTCTTGGTGTGGTTTTACCCAGAAAGGGGGCCTTTGAACAAAGAATTTAAGGTAAGTAAAATCCCTGAGGTTGGGGTTTGATTCAATAAGATCTGTGTCATTATTAGAAGAGTCTCCATGGCCTGGGGTCTTAAGTCAGTGGACGGTGACTTGCCTAGCATTCAGGGAGCTCTGACTTTAATCCCCAGTACCCTCCAAAATGTGCCCAGTGGTGAATGTCTGGCATTCCAGCACACAGGAGGCTGAGACAGGAGGATCAGGAGTTCTAGGCCATCCTCCACCAAACAACTTGAGGCTAATCTGAGCTAATGAGAGACATTTAAAAAAACATCCAAAACAAAGGAGCCTCCAAAAACTACTGCTGCCCTTTCTGGAGGCACAAGCCAGAAAAGGGCAGTAAGAGAGACAGTCCCAGCATGTGAGACACATTAGCACCAGGTGCCTCCTGATTGAGGAGCTACACTCATTGATACTGGGCTAGCAAATGCTTGGTTCCTAGGAGACCTCATTCAGAACTTACCTGTCAGGGAACAAAAGCTGGGGTGAGCTGAGCGTGGGGGAAGGAAAGAGGCTAGCAAGGAGTATCTCCTTTCCCCTGGAAATGTGCAAGGGAACTGGTCCTTTTTGTCCAGCTACTGGGGAAGCCAAGGGTAAAGGGTCACAGGCTCAGTCAGTGCCTGCCTCGGCTGTAGAGTTAGTTCAGTGTTGGCTAGGGCAACCTTCTGAGAGTGCGGCGCTTGAAAAGTAAAACAAACCAAAAGGAAGAAAGATGCCGCTCCGTGGAGGGGTGCGAGACTGAGGTGGCCTGCGGCTGCTGCTGTTTTCATCCCAGGCGTCACAAATTACGATATGAAACCCAATGGGAGGGAGGCACAGCGAGCTCCAGAGCTCTGTCTGCTTGGCCTCACGCTGGCCACCTGAAACAGGGATCTCTTTCCTTCTCCACGGTGGAAAAGTATCAGATTAGGTCAGATTCTGCTGACCTCTGAAGAAGTGGCAAGGTGCTAATCAATAAACTGATAGAATCAATGGCCCCCAAGGCAGGTTTTCATTATTAATATGCTATGGAGAGTCCACCTGAGTGATGGAGGGAAGAGGGAAAACGCCACCTGGTAGGATGGGAGCCCTGCCGCTTCTCTTAGATTATCCAATTTATTCTTGTCAGGATTAATTTACTAAACCTAGGCTGGATTTTTTATTTAGATGATATTGTTGGTTTGTCATGCGCCTCAGATCCACACTGAAGGCGCCCCAGGGGACGGCGCTTGCTTCTGAACAATGTTGGGCTCAAATTGGAAAAATGTCACTTTGGGCGCGAACAAATTATTGTTCAGACCGCTCTGCGGACAGCAGGCGTCTCCGGATGGTTCCGAGGTGACCTTTCCTGAACCCAAGGCGTTGCATAAGTACTTCAGCCCCACTTGATAACCTCGCTAGGAAAATAACTCAATGACTTAAGTATTAAGTATGAATCTAAAGGCTTGTACTCATTGCCAAGCAATCAATTTTCCTGCAGAAGCGGCTCACTGCCTTCCTGTAGCCGAAAGCTGGACTGCCTCCAGTGAGGATTGAAGTTGTTGGCCACAGATGAGATTCAGTCAAGAATGTAGGGCCACCTTGTATAGAGTTAGTTATACCATAGCGGGAGGCTGGGGGCGGGGGCTCCACAAAAACAGGCTGACTGAAGGCTGGGAGTCAGCTCAGACAGCGCTTGCCAT